AAATGTCAATGTACAAAGGGACCTGGATGTCCTTGTACACTGGTCATTGAATGCAAGCATGCAAGTGCAGCATGCAGTTAGGAAGGCAAATGGTATGGTGGCCTTCATTGAAAGAGGGCTTGAATTGAGAAGCAAGGAAGTTTTATTGTAGTTGTACAGGGTAATGGTGAGACCATACCCAGAGTATTTTGGTCTCCCTACCGAGAAGTAAGTAGTTGCAATAGAGGGAATGCAGCAAAGATTTAATAGGCTGATTCTTGGATTGGAAGCTTGTAGTACAAGGGATTGGATTCACAGGGGCCTGTATTCATTGGACTTCAGAAGAATGAGAGAGTATTTCATTGAAACATCCAATTCTGACAGGCTGGACAGACTGAATGCAAGGATGATGCATCCCATGGTCAGGGTGGTATATAACAAGGGGCCACGGTCCCAAGATACAGACCAAGATGAACAGAAATTTCTTCACTTGATGGTGAACCTATAGAATACTCTCCCTCAGGCTGCTATGGAGGCAAAGTGACTGAATATATTTAAGAAAGAAATAGATTTCTAGAGCTAAAAGTGTCAAAGTTTTGGGGTTCAGTGGAAGTACGGCTTTGAGATAGAGAAACAGCCAAGATAATATCAAAGTAGGCTGACTGGGCTGAATGATTTGCTGCAATTTTTTGTGGTTCCAAGCATTCATTTGTTGGCTTTTTGAAGGGGCCATATAATTGGTCCCACCTCCTGCTCTTTCCTTTAAATATCTCATCTTCAAGCATCTATCCAATTTCCTCTGGAACACTTTCCTCAGAAGGGGCACTGGAGGTGAAGTAATTGAATATTTAAAGTGGGGGTATATAGATTCTTGTAAGGCCGAGGGAATCGAGGATTATTGAGGGGACAGGAATGTGGAATTCCCACAAATGGATCAGCCATGATCTGACTGAATGGTAGAACATGGTCCACAGGATGACCCTCATATTTGTATGAAAGTTATTGAAAATGGTGGCCTTTCATGCAACACATCGCAGCTTGCAACAAGTTGCTGTGTCATTCTCTTCATGTTGCTTCTGGTGCTTTTGCAATTATCTTCTGTCTCTCACTGGTTATCACTCTCTCTGCCACTGCAAACAGCTTCTCTTTTTGTACACTACCAAAGCCTTTCCTGATTTTGACCGTCTCCAATAAATCTCTCATCAACTTTCTCTGTTCCAAGGAGAACAAGCTGACCTTCTTCAGTCTCTCAAGTTAAGTTCCTCAACACTGGTACCATTCCAGTAAATCCCCTCAGTGCCTTCTCCAAGCCTTGACATTCTTCCTGAGGTGTGGTGCCTGGAAATGCACATAATTCCTAGCAGACACAGTGAGTAGCTATGATGGTCAATTTCCTGGTTCTTTTCCCCTACACCTTGCTTCAGTTTGAAGGATCATTGTTCACCCCTCTTTCCTCAATGCCCCTTTAATTCTGTGATGAGTGACTGAGAGAAGGAACCTAGAGAATTGGAAATGTGAAAAGTTCCAAATAGGGACACGCTGGTGTAATGAAATGCAATTTCCAAATGTGATAACAAAATAAGAGAATGTAAAAATAGAGTGAGATTTATTTACAGTACATAGTGTTTTACAGGATCCAGATTTAGAGAAAATGTCAAATATACAATAGCTGGGGTAATTCACCACAGCAATTTTACAAAATCATATCAAATGCTTATTGACTGATCCCAAATTGACTCCAATGAGCAATGCAATTGGGCAAAGTCTAATAAGAACCCAGGCATGAGGAGTCTCTGTTAGTATGAGACTACTACACCCTCATCCGTGCTTAGAAATAACAAGCTCCTGTCACCTGCACTTGGTAAACCCACAGGACCAAGAATGCATCCTTGAAACCGCTGGTTCATCACAGCATAGTTCTGATTGCAATAGCTCTAACTGCACTGGAGCCTAATTGAAGACCAGTTTGTCAAACAGTAACTCACTCCTGGCTGGCCCTCCATTCAAACAAAGCAGCTCTGAGGCTGCAATGGAGCAATACAGATGGCTAAAGGAGTGAGTGCCATGGGCTGAGGGCCACTTGGACGCTTCCACCAGCTGTAATCAGAATAAAATCAAACCATTTCCCGTAAACAAAGTGCTAAAATCGAAACATTCACATCAAATGGATACTTCTAGAAAAAATATCTTTTTCAAACATATAAAACTCTTTCCCCATAATCGAATATACAAAAACTCTGATCAAACTGATTAAAAACTCATGAATTTCAGTATTGAGTAATGTCTACAACATTCTCCAAACCAAAAGCAACTCATTTCCAACATTCTGTTGTATAAACTTTAAACTTCACTTACAAACAAAAGTCAATTCCTTTTAATGTTGTTCAGTGAATTCTCACATCTTGCCTGCTGCTTGGTGATCTCTCTCGGATCCCAGTATCATCCTCTCTTCCCCCGTCAGGACCAGCTCCTCACTGCCTGTCCCTTGATTCGTCCAACCAGGGTCCAGGGAAATACTCATCTGTTAAATGTGATGCTGCCCATTCCCACCAGAAACAGACACCTGGTATCCCACAAGGTCAGAGCCCTCCCCACATCCAAACCATAGAGGTGGCGGGGAGTGGCCAGCACCCAGGAACGGGGGTGTGGGGCACTGCATCGGGGGGAGAGGGTGGAGGCAATACTCAGGAAAGGGTAGCTGCACTGAGACTTCTCAAGCAGATCTTAGATGTGGGATCCAGTCTGGATGGCCTGACAGATTCACAGTGAATCACCTGGATCAGAATGGGATTTTTTTGCTATTCTTGAATAGTGTTATGATTTTGTAGAGTTGTAATCCAAACAGGACTCTGAGGAAACATTTCACAGTCTGCCTGCTTGCTTCCAAAAGCTTTTGTTCAATGGCCCAGGTCAGCATGGTGTTTACTACCAGTTCACCGGTTGACCTAGGCTCTGATTCAACGGGAATAATGTGCACATTTGTGAAAGATTCCAGAACAGAAACTGTGGCACCAACAAAGGTCTCACTCACCAAAGCCTGTTTACAGTAAGATTTAGTTAAGGTGCTGAGTAAAATAAGCTGCCTTTTCAACGGATGCTGTTGAACATGAGAGATAGAGTTCTTCTGCTGAGTACGCTTAGATTTTGATGTCAGTTCAGTCTTCTGGCAGTGAGACAGCTGGTTATACCAAAGCTGCCAGATTCCTCTATACACTGCTAGCCTCTGCCAGGCCAAGATATTCAGCATTCTCTGCTGTTGCAACCCGGATGTATCCGTTGGGTTGTGTTAGTGTCGGGGTAGCAGGGATCAGGCAAGGAGAATTCCCAGAGCGCAACCTGCTCTGGAGATCCGGTGCCCAATAATCAGGATGATCAAATGGCAGGTCCTTGTTCCCAGACAGACTCGGTTGACTTAGATATTCAGGATTTTCCACGGTGTTTCTGAACAGACCTTTTGGGATTAGGGACCCATTCCTGCCATTACCACGAGCCAGAGCTTGGCTGGGAGATAAAGTTTCATCTGCCTGGTTTATGTAGTCTGACAGGAAACAAAAGACAAAGATTAGAAGCAAAATCAGGTCATAGTGGTGCCAAAGAACAGACCCAGACCTCGTCAGATGCACCTCCGCCCCACCTCCCACATTAAGAATCAGCAATGGACTAATTGAAGTGAGTCGGTGGGAGAAGGAACAAACATCATTGACATTAACCTGTTTCCGTTTGATCAGAGCCCAGTGAGATGTAACTATCCACCTCATCTTCTCCCTCGTCGGTCAGATGCACTGTGGGATTGGAGCTATATCGCTGTTTGACATTGTCCTCTCTGGCAGGACAGCAGGGCAATCCTCTACATCCTGAGCCCTCAGCCTCAGCGTAAGTGTCCACACAGGCATCAGCGGGTTGTGAAGCTCCAGACACCAGGCCAGAACTCTGTGCAGCACCCCGCTCCTCAACCGAGTGTCAGTGTCTGTTAGTCAGAAAGCAATTTTTCACCCAGAATAATCAAAGTTGCAGCTAAGACCATTTAGCCTATTTTAGGAAATTAAGTTTGGTATTAGATCCAAAAATAAGTCATACTAAGTTGCTTGAAAAAGTAGCAATCCCAAGGGCTGGGAGGAATTGCAGAGATTAATTAAGGAGGGAAAAATAGAGAAAACTTGCATGGAATGTAAAGGGAAACTGCAAGAGCATGTATGTATATATAAGAAAGAGATTAGTGAAGACAAACGTACAGTCTGAAACAGGAGAATTGATAAAGGAAAACAAGGACAGCAATTAACTATTTTAGCTCTGTCGTTTTGGAAGATGCAAATAATTTCCCAGACATGCTAGGGAAGCAAGGGAAGGAGGAATTGAGGGGCGTTAGTTTCTTAAAACAATAGTTGGTAGAAATTAATGGGATTAAAGCTGAAAAATCCCCAAGGCCTGATAACTTATATCCCAGGGTACTAAAGCAGGTGGCTGTGAAAACAGTGGATAAATTAATTGTTAATTTCCAAAATTCTGCAGATTCTGGAATAGTCCCAGCAGATTTGAAAGAGGCAAATGTTACACACTGTTTAAAAACTAAGGGAGGAAGAAAACCAGGAATTACAGAGCCATTAGTCTAATAGCTGTAGTAGAGAAAATGCTGGTGTCTATTATAAAGGGTACGATAGCAGGACACTGTAATATTGTTGATACGATCTCAAAGACAATGTGGGTTTATGAAAAGGAAATCAGTTTTTTGGTTAAAAGGATGTAATCAGTAGGATGGTTGTATTTGAATTTTCTGAATTTTAATAAGTTCCCATACAGGAGGTTATTGGAGTGGGGCACACAGGAATCAGTGCTGGGGCACCAGCTACTCATAACATATGTCAAAGATTCAGATGAAGGAATCAATGTCGTATTTCCAAGTTTCCAGATGATAAGACTTGATGGGAATGAGAGTGACAGGGATGTAGAAGGAAGACTCGAGTGAAGGCAAATGCATGGCAGATCTAGTATAATGTGGATAAATGAGAGGTTGTCTACTTTGATAGGATAAAACTAAAATAGAGTATTTCTTAAATGGTGATAATTGGGAAATGTCAATGTACAAAGGGACCTGGATGTCCTTGTACACTGGTCATTGAATGCAAGCATGCAAGTGCAGCATGCAGTTAGGAAGGCAAATGGTATGGTGGCCTTCATTGAAAGAGGGCTTGAATTGAGAAGCAAGGAAGTTTTATTGTAGTTGTACAGGGTAATGGTGAGACCATACCCAGAGTATTTTGGTCTCCCTACCGAGAAGTAAGTAGTTGCAATAGAGGGAATGCAGCAAAGATTTAATAGGCTGATTCTTGGATTGGAAGCTTGTAGTACAAGGGATTGGATTCACAGGGGCCTGTATTCATTGGACTTCAGAAGAATGAGAGAGTATTTCATTGAAACATCCAATTCTGACAGGCTGGACAGACTGAATGCAAGGATGATGCATCCCATGGTCAGGGTGGTATATAACAAGGGGCCACGGTCCCAAGATACAGACCAAGATGAACAGAAATTTCTTCACTTGATGGTGAACCTATAGAATACTCTCCCTCAGGCTGCTATGGAGGCAAAGTGACTGAATATATTTAAGAAAGAAATAGATTTCTAGAGCTAAAAGTGTCAAAGTTTTGGGGTTCAGTGGAAGTACGGCTTTGAGATAGAGAAACAGCCAAGATAATATCAAAGTAGGCTGACTGGGCTGAATGATTTGCTGCAATTTTTTGTGGTTCCAAGCATTCATTTGTTGGCTTTTTGAAGGGGCCATATAATTGGTCCCACCTCCTGCTCTTTCCTTTAAATATCTCATCTTCAAGCATCTATCCAATTTCCTCTGGAACACTTTCCTCAGAAGGGGCACTGGAGGTGAAGTAATTGAATATTTAAAGTGGGGGTATATAGATTCTTGTAAGGCCGAGGGAATCGAGGATTATTGAGGGGACAGGAATGTGGAATTCCCACAAATGGATCAGCCATGATCTGACTGAATGGTAGAACATGGTCCACAGGATGACCCTCATATTTGTATGAAAGTTATTGAAAATGGTGGCCTTTCATGCAACACATCGCAGCTTGCAACAAGTTGCTGTGTCATTCTCTTCATGTTGCTTCTGGTGCTTTTGCAATTATCTTCTGTCTCTCACTGGTTATCACTCTCTCTGCCACTGCAAACAGCTTCTCTTTTTGTACACTACCAAAGCCTTTCCTGATTTTGACCGTCTCCAATAAATCTCTCATCAACTTTCTCTGTTCCAAGGAGAACAAGCTGACCTTCTTCAGTCTCTCAAGTTAAGTTCCTCAACACTGGTACCATTCCAGTAAATCCCCTCAGTGCCTTCTCCAAGCCTTGACATTCTTCCTGAGGTGTGGTGCCTGGAAATGCACATAATTCCTAGCAGACACAGTGAGTAGCTATGATGGTCAATTTCCTGGTTCTTTTCCCCTACACCTTGCTTCAGTTTGAAGGATCATTGTTCACCCCTCTTTCCTCAATGCCCCTTTAATTCTGTGATGAGTGACTGAGAGAAGGAACCTAGAGAATTGGAAATGTGAAAAGTTCCAAATAGGGACACGCTGGTGTAATGAAATGCAATTTCCAAATGTGATAACAAAATAAGAGAATGTAAAAATAGAGTGAGATTTATTTACAGTACATAGTGTTTTACAGGATCCAGATTTAGAGAAAATGTCAAATATACAATAGCTGGGGTAATTCACCACAGCAATTTTACAAAATCATATCAAATGCTTATTGACTGATCCCAAATTGACTCCAATGAGCAATGCAATTGGGCAAAGTCTAATAAGAACCCAGGCATGAGGAGTCTCTGTTAGTATGAGACTACTACACCCTCATCCGTGCTTAGAAATAACAAGCTCCTGTCACCTGCACTTGGTAAACCCACAGGACCAAGAATGCATCCTTGAAACCGCTGGTTCATCACAGCATAGTTCTGATTGCAATAGCTCTAACTGCACTGGAGCCTAATTGAAGACCAGTTTGTCAAACAGTAACTCACTCCTGGCTGGCCCTCCATTCAAACAAAGCAGCTCTGAGGCTGCAATGGAGCAATACAGATGGCTAAAGGAGTGAGTGCCATGGGCTGAGGGCCACTTGGACGCTTCCACCAGCTGTAATCAGAATAAAATCAAACCATTTCCCGTAAACAAAGTGCTAAAATCGAAACATTCACATCAAATGGATACTTCTAGAAAAAATATCTTTTTCAAACATATAAAACTCTTTCCCCATAATCGAATATACAAAAACTCTGATCAAACTGATTAAAAACTCATGAATTTCAGTATTGAGTAATGTCTACAACATTCTCCAAACCAAAAGCAACTCATTTCCAACATTCTGTTGTATAAACTTTAAACTTCACTTACAAACAAAAGTCAATTCCTTTTAATGTTGTTCAGTGAATTCTCACATCTTGCCTGCTGCTTGGTGATCTCTCTCGGATCCCAGTATCATCCTCTCTTCCCCCGTCAGGACCAGCTCCTCACTGCCTGTCCCTTGATTCGTCCAACCAGGGTCCAGGGAAATACTCATCTGTTAAATGTGATGCTGCCCATTCCCACCAGAAACAGACACCTGGTATCCCACAAGGTCAGAGCCCTCCCCACATCCAAACCATAGAGGTGGCGGGGAGTGGCCAGCACCCAGGAACGGGGGTGTGGGGCACTGCATCGGGGGGAGAGGGTGGAGGCAATACTCAGGAAAGGGTAGCTGCACTGAGACTTCTCAAGCAGATCTTAGATGTGGGATCCAGTCTGGATGGCCTGACAGATTCACAGTGAATCACCTGGATCAGAATGGGATTTTTTTGCTATTCTTGAATAGTGTTATGATTTTGTAGAGTTGTAATCCAAACAGGACTCTGAGGAAACATTTCACAGTCTGCCTGCTTGCTTCCAAAAGCTTTTGTTCAATGGCCCAGGTCAGCATGGTGTTTACTACCAGTTCACCGGTTGACCTAGGCTCTGATTCAACGGGAATAATGTGCACATTTGTGAAAGATTCCAGAACAGAAACTGTGGCACCAACAAAGGTCTCACTCACCAAAGCCTGTTTACAGTAAGATTTAGTTAAGGTGCTGAGTAAAATAAGCTGCCTTTTCAACGGATGCTGTTGAACATGAGAGATAGAGTTCTTCTGCTGAGTACGCTTAGATTTTGATGTCAGTTCAGTCTTCTGGCAGTGAGACAGCTGGTTATACCAAAGCTGCCAGATTCCTCTATACACTGCTAGCCTCTGCCAGGCCAAGATATTCAGCATTCTCTGCTGTTGCAACCCGGATGTATCCGTTGGGTTGTGTTAGTGTCGGGGTAGCAGGGATCAGGCAAGGAGAATTCCCAGAGCGCAACCTGCTCTGGAGATCCGGTGCCCAATAATCAGGATGATCAAATGGCAGGTCCTTGTTCCCAGACAGACTCGGTTGACTTAGATATTCAGGATTTTCCACGGTGTTTCTGAACAGACCTTTTGGGATTAGGGACCCATTCCTGCCATTACCACGAGCCAGAGCTTGGCTGGGAGATAAAGTTTCATCTGCCTGGTTTATGTAGTCTGACAGGAAACAAAAGACAAAGATTAGAAGCAAAATCAGGTCATAGTGGTGCCAAAG